ACTGCAATACATCCTGCAGCATGTAGTCTACCAGAAGGTCATTGGAGGAAGTTCTCTGTTGTGGCTGAGGCTAACAAAAAGAACAACAAATGCAAATAAATACAACATTATTATACACTACAATAAAAATCATGTAACATGCAAAAAGAAGACAAATATATTACAGTGGTCTAACTTTACCACTGAATTGAAATTATAATGAAAGCAGACCTTTAACAGGTCTGCTTTATATTGTCTTCCAAACATACAGGCCAGTAGTTCTACTCACTTACATTAACTAACATTATGTCCATTAACGTGTAAACACGTGTAAATCTCTATACCTGTTTGTCTACCTGTGAAGACCATTAGCCATAAAATATCTGACACAATTGATAACTGGTTTAATTGCTTTGCAACCAGAGTCCTCGTTCATCCTACACCAGTACAGCTTTCCACACACACCCATACTGTGCACAATCTATCATAACTTCCAAAGAAGAGCTGCAACATCCCTGATATACTGTAACTACAAGCATCGCTTTATGCCGGCTGACTCGTACTGCAAGTCATGACTGCTCCAGGGTCTGTGTGTTATTTAAACACAGCGGAGATCAAGGAAAAGAGGATAATAACTACCGATTAATGATGAGAAACCAGAAATTTGACCTTGTTTTGAAGCTCACTTTACATGAAAGGTTCATGTCCAGAGGAGAAAACGTTTCTATTGTGCCGCAAAATAAGTTGTCATCCTTGTGTCGACATGTTCATTCATTCACATGTCTTGCAATAGTGGCAGTGTTACAGTAATGTTGTGAAATCAACTAAAACCCCTGTTTTATGAGCGCACACACACAAACACACACACACACACACACACACATGCACATGCATGCAGGCTGTACAGTTATGATCAGTACAAAATCCCTTAAACTAATCTCATTACTCCACTGACAAGCTTTACAGTCTCAGCCAAACATGTTGACATACAGCAGCCCTGCCACCCTCTTTAACAAAGCCCGTTTCCGAGGAAGGTTAGCAAACAAACACACCACAAGTGCTATAAGATTTATGGTTGAATAGTGGTTGAAGATAGCCCGGTGATATTTTTGTGGGAGGCAGGAAAGGATGGTTCAGCCAGCTTGTTGTGCTCTAGACCCAAGCATCCTGTGGCTTACACTGTACACTTAACACATAACCACACAATAAAATGTTTTTTTGTCCAGAGAACCAATTTAAAGTTCTACAAAAACAAACCAGTTTGCACACAGACATCATCATTACCATATACGTAGACCAGTATTTCGAATATATGGTTATCAGATGAACTGTGAGGTTCATTTACTTCAAAATTCCAAACATTCATGTGAACACAGAAAAAAAAAATTCTGGCAACAGAAGAAAATATGTATACCCACAGACACATGAAACTCACACTGATGCATCTACATTAAACTTGTTTCAAACAGGAAACTTTTTTCATAGTTTACTGTCACAGAGCAGCTTTCCTGCCTATTTAAAAAGCCATTTCATCTCCCAAAAAAGGGGGGGGGGGGATTCAGTGAATGTGGCAGAGACATGAGGCAGTTTACACTGTTTGGTGATCATTGATGCATCTGGTCACCAGTGAAGGGCAGTTAGGAGCAGAAGCAGCAATAAAATGTGAATGGAAAATTGGGAAAATAATTACATTATTCAAGTCAATTTGTAGGACCACCCACAATTTCACAATTTATATTTTCAGCGATTCATGACTGTATTTGGGGAGTTCAACTGGAACCCACTATAATACAAACAGTGGTTGCGAGTGGCACATATTCTACAGCTAAATTAGGCATGCAATCCACTAACAGTCATCATCCCCGACATCCCGTGGACGCAACCATGGTGGACTGAAATCTATACACTGTACCAGATTTCATCGAGATTGTCTCATTACTCTACAAAGAAAAACTTTGCATCTGTTATCACATAAACTCTAAATAGAGGTCAACAAGGTTAAGTAAACCACTTGTAGAGAGTGAGCAATAAATACAAAGTCACTTTTATTTTGACATTTACTGGTACTAGTTCATGATAAACAGTCATTAAGAGCAGATCCAGGCAATTGAGGACAAAGTCTTCAAAACACTGGAGCACTTTGGCCTCCCTTATAGACAGGTAGGAATTTGTGATTAATTGCTAGTCTGTCTTCTACTGGTAGATTCTTGCCCCTGTTTCCTTCTCTCTTCCTCTGTCTCTCAATCTATCTTTGTGTCTCCATTCTTTTTTCTCTCTGTCAGACACTGGAAACACTGGTAGTGGCATGCATTCAAATGAGATAAGAGGGAAGAAATCATGCTTTTCAATCATAGTCGGGTTCAGCTACATTAGTAACTGACAAATAATGTAAACTTTTCTGATGGTGTGAGGCCAGATTACGCTCATGTGGACAGCTGATGGCCTTTAATACAGCATGCCATTATTGAAGATGAATGGTCCATTTGCTGATTAAAAATGTACCTTGAGAGAGGATGCTTTCAAAGAAGATCAGTTACACAGAATTGAGAATGAAAACTTCAGTTTCCTGGCTTTGCTGTTTGAGCATAAAAACTGTATATTAATACAGACATACATCAGCTTCCTCACTGAAACACCACTACAAAAATCAAAAACAAGTCACCGCACACTGAAATGACTTCACTACTACATTGCTATATTTATTATGAACATGACTTTGTGAACCTGAAAAAAGCCATAGGTGAAATGCGTTGTTCATAAATATAGTAAAGTAATTTCTGTGTGTGGTGTGGTGTTTTTGATTTTTGATGGCCAAATCCCATGACCTACCAGCATCTGACATGCTGTGCATGGGGAGTCTCTTGTTTTCTTATACAACTATGAAAATCTGCAGTGTTTGGAACAGGACAGAAACAAACTCTGCTCCTTTTTTTAAACATATAGTCTTTATAGAAGCACAGAGGGCTTCATTTTGATAGAGTCCAGGATTTGACACATGTAATTGCTATTTTACATATTTCAGATTAATGTAAAATGTCAGTCGATTGTCATCTCACAATTCAATGGTAAATGCTTGCTGTGCAACTGCTCTACATCAAGTTGTCTGAATAAAAGTCTTAGGACCAAACACATACGTATTCTAGCTGGTGACCTTTTCTTTCCAATACAGGAAAATGTTAAAAGTTACCGCAGCATTTTAAGTATTGAGAGGGAACTTGGGATTTTTATGTACACTTAGTCCAAATTCTAACCACAAGTTTTCCAAAATGTGAAAGTTATGTAGCTTTGATGTGAAAAGTCCTGAAGATTGAAAATAACAATTCAGTATTGACTGTTATGTTACGGCACGGAAAATGAATATGATTAACATGTCATGCCACTTCCTTATGACATTAATGACAGGTGTGCACAGTACATCAGTGTGCACATCTTCAACAGTGAGAGCCAGAATGGGTTTAATAACATGCATGCCACTTTTTTTTTTATTCCCTGTTTGTTGACTAAACACAGATAGATGAAGGCTCTCTGTGGTACCAGTCAAAGAAGAAACAGGCAGCTCTCTATGAATCTAATCATACAGGAGTAAAAAACCAACACAGTAATTGGAGAAGACCTTGCGGTGACCCAACATCAGTTATATTACAGACTTCAAAGGGCTGGAGGAAGATGTTAAGAGATCTTCAGAGAGATGTTAAGAGAAAAGGCAATTTTAGCTGATCATTTCAAGCGTGCCCAATCTGATGAAGAGGAGAGTCAGTCAAGTGTGAATATGTCTGGTCTGAAATACAACAGCTACCCTTGTCTGTTGTAGTGCCATCAGACAGGGATCTGACCTCAATTTGATGTAAGGCCGCCGGCTGTGGTCATGAGGTCATGGGTTCAGATCCTAAGGTACGCACGGCTGAAAAATAGGAGGTGTCAGTATTTTAATGTGTTTTTTCAAACCATGTGAGAGACTTTTGGAAGAATTGATGGAGAGAGAACAGATGATTATGGGAATTTATATCTCTTCCATCAGCGTCTAGGTCAAGGGTCAGAAGTCCATTGAACTGCAAGTGTTTTTATTTTGCCTGACCAAATCCACTGTAAAACAACTGCTATGACCTGTTTAAAGCAATTTAGTTGATGCCAGTGCTTATTTAGTCACTTTAAATGTAAAATATTTGAAAAATGACTAATAAAGTTAAGGAAGTAGTTCATTATTTGGGGAAATATGATTACTGATACTGATGCCACTTTCATCTCTGTCCACTCAATGTTGGACTACAAAACCAGCAGACAATTCGTTTAGCTTAGCCAAAAGACTGAAAACAAGGGGAAACAGCTAAACTGGCTCTGTCCATAGGTAAAAAAACATTTTATTTATTTTATAAATGTTGTAAAATCTTTAAAATGTGTTAAATACTACTTGGCAATAAAGTTCTTTCTAATTCTGATAATTAACATATAAAAACTTGTATATATAGGGGTGTCCCCAGGATGTCACCTTGCCAGGCAAATCTTTTTCCCTTTAATACACAAGTGCAGGTACAGGTGTGTCAGGCCAGTGCGGCAGGGATTTGCATCTCCGTTACAACAGGGCTACCTGTGTGTCTTGGCAGAATGAGTAGGAAAAAGTAGTGAATCAAAGAAATAAAACGTTATTTCCTGATAGTTTCATGGCAGTTATGTTCTAAAGCACAAATAAAAATGTTTGCACCACACAGTTCGGGGTGTTTAAGCTGATAATAGAAATGCAAACTTGACTTGGCTCAGCCAAAATTGAACACCCCTATTTGTTACCTTTGCACTGAGTAAGGCTAGCTGTTTTCCCTTGATTCCAGTCTAGGTAAAGATAAATTAATCTCCTGCTGGCTGTAGCGTAATGCTTAGCATTGAGACTCGAGAGTGTCTTCTCCTCTAACTCTTGGCAAGATCAAAATATGTATATTTCCCAAACAAACTATTGCTTTAAGCAGGTATAAATAGTAGGTAGGTATCTACAAGCAAAACACATTTTATCCCATTCCTCACTCACTCACCTTGCTGTAGTATTTTGCCAAAGTACTTGTTGTGGCTAGTGCAGTTCCACCGGCGGTACCTGAATTGGTACTGGCACTCCCTGATGCCCAGCCTGGCTCCTTTGGCCACCTCACTGACAATCTCTGGCTGAGTCTGGCACAGCTCAGCCTGCTTCCCCGCCAGACGCTTCGCCTTCCTGCAAATGCTGTTGGGGTCCATCACCAGCGGACTGCCGACCGCCCTAGAAAAATGTAAACAATGTTAGAATTGAGAAGAGAACAATCTCACAGTAATCAACAACAACAATACAGAACTCCCTTCCTGTTCTGTTTGGTGACCAACACCTGTTAACTTAATTACACAGTGTGTGTAACAATGTGGCTGCACTCATCAGAAGCCACAAACCAAATGGAAGTTTTTTCTGTGGCTACTAAGTCTGCCAACTCTACCCACCACTCCTCAGCTGTGGCGACAATGTGCCTCTTGAATAGGCATGTGGGAGACAACAGAGCACAAAGTTTCCCAGCGACATCTTAGCTCTGACGTCAGATTCTGTATTTTGCACTTGGACTGCACTTGGGAGTAGTGTGTGGTCCTCACAAAGTTGGAAGTGAAACAGTTGGAAGTCTCTTAACAGACAGGCCGTTTACAGTTGATCTTAATGCTAAGTTGATTTTGGTAAACCAGAAGGCAGACTTTCTAGATTTCCTGATGATACAGCTTCCCTGGAGGTTTTGTAGCTTTTAAGAACTTCACCACTTAAACCACACATATCCCTCGAATCAGCAACAAAATTCTCAGATTTAATCCATATATTACTTAAAAAATTATGTTTAAATGTTTGACAAACTAAATCAAGCATGCCTCACGTAGTTCAAATATTTAAAACATTAAAATATGTATATGCATACATCTTATATTTGATGAACACGGACCCTGCACCTCATCAATAGCTTTGACAGATGAGTGTATATAATAAAGATAAATAGTTTATTCTAAGTCTTAATGGGAAGGAGGGGCTTGGCTCCACCACTTGGTAGCACTGCCAGCGTCTGTGACCACTTCAGTGGCATAACAGCAAAGTGGCTTTAAGAGATGACTTGAGTTACATTATTTTCTTCCTCTCCTTGCCTTAGCTGTCCCCCAATCATCCCCTATATGCTGTTAACTTTAAGTAAATTCAAATTCTATTCTCATGCACCCCCCCCCTTCATTTTAGTGATTTCTCTTGACTCTTCTGTAGCAGATGTGAGCCATAACGTCAGGTTTTACCATGAAATGGCAGTCAGAAGGGTATGCATGACAGACAGAGTGAGAAACAAAGGAGCAAGAGTTAGCAAAAGACTACCTCATAGGTTTTCATTCAGCCTTGTCCCTGTTAATCGCACCACCTGATATCATTCATCTGCTTCGAGAGTTTGTTTTAAGAAGCAGAACAAATGTTCTTGCCAATCCCTTCTCCTGGCGGTCTGATACCGAGCAAGAGATTTGCACACACACATACACACATGCGTGCTCATTCATTCGGCTCAGTCCCTGTGTTTTTGAAAACTTCCCTTCCCTTTTTTATTTTAATAAAGCTATTTATATGACAACATGTCAACATGTGATCAAATGAAATCCCTATTCAAGGTAACTCTAACATGTCAGCCTCTTAACCAATAACATCATGGAAGGGAAGATCCACAGACAAATTGACCAAATACTGTTATCCACCATACATACCACAAACATATAATAATGGCACACAGCATGGATTGCAGTCATGGTTTTCTTGTAATCTATTCTAATAATTCAACATGCATGAAGTTTAGGGGCAGCAGATGTACCTCCTATCCCATAGTATGAACCATGATGTATGAAGTCAAAACCTTAAAATTATAGTAGAATATAATAATTGCATTGGCACCTAAGGATACAAAGAATGCATGCCCTGTCTACAGGGACACACACACACATATTTGTGTGCACGCTCCAGGGACACCCACTGTTGCATTCCTTCTATGATTATTAAGAGTGTATTGACAACATCACTATGGAAACAATGCTGTATTTTCAATACAGGTGTTCTGTGTATACTGTGTGTGTGTGTGTGTGTGTGTTCTCCTCAAGTGTGTGTGTGGTAGTCTTACAGATAAAATTATACAGACACTGTTGTCTAAATTAGCAGGTACACACTCCCCCTCAACAACCACTCATTATCTACCTACCACCATCAGGCTCTGTGTGTGTGTGTGTGTGTGTGTGTGGAGGGGAGGGAGAGAAAGAGAGAGAAAATTTAACTGATGTACACTCACACAAATGTATTTCTATACAGTATGTGTAGATTTTTACGGATGTGAGAAAAATAATTGTATTTTCTTGTGTGTGTTTGTGTGAGCATGTGCCAGGAGCAGTGCTGGGAAGCCAGCTCTGTCAGCAGCTTACAATAGCCAGCCTGGTTTTTTACAATGGGAGGTGTAGAGTTGTAAAACTAGTGAATGTACTGGATGAAGTTTGGATGGAGTCCTAGAAGCAAAAAACAGAGACAGTTAGAGGGCTTTGACAACAAGAGAAAAGTTTCTTTAGGAGATCTTTTTGCCCAAAAGCAAATACGGCAAAGTAGAGAAAGGAAGGACTTAAAACTGGTTGGAGGCTAATCACTTTGCTGACCTTTGTTTAAGTCAAGTGACAGAGTTCTATGAGTCTTAACAATTAAAACAGATATCAGTACAGATTAAAGTAGGTACATCAAAATAAAATTGTGAGACCCTTTTCACACAGTAGGATGAAATCCTCCCTTCATTTTGGTTGAAGGCTGTTTTGATAATCCCCACTGGACTGTCTTACATATAAATTTAGAAACACGGCATGATGGTAAGAGAATGGGAATGTAGTCTGAATCGGAAAGTGGAGGGAACTGAGGTGGAAAAGCGCATTGCTAGTGATATACCCAAAAATGGGGTGCATTAATTGGATAACAGGATGACTGTATGCAGCCAGCATTCTTGCCCTTGTTTGGAGATCGGTATATAAAAGTGTGCATCCCTGCGAAGTTGAATAGAATACGGGAATACTTAATTGCACTCTCCGAAAGTGCATGTGGCAGGTCCACAGAAAAGCAGAATTTTCTTTAATAAATTTATCAGATCTAGGGTGGCTTAAGCAGGTTAATGTGTCTTCATCGTGCACAGTGGACATTACTAAAGACATCAAAATATGTTATTCATGCATGTCACATGCAGTATTGTCTACTCTTCAGCTGTATTGTTTGGTTTCCATGGAGAAGTGTGTCTTTTTTCTTTGATCTTTTTGGTTAGGGTTAGAAATGCTGTTGTGGAGAAAGATACTGTTGGCCTGACCCAAGTCCTACTATAAATATCTTAAGGCTGTCACCTGCTCCGTGGCCTTCTGCAGCCTCGATGAAGGGACGCTCTTAAAGCTCAAATAGTCATAATGGGACACTTCAAGTGGATGCATACACACACAAATGCACTTTGCACACAAAACCCTGCATATACAGTACACACACGCACATTTATCAAAGCAGACGCATTTGCTACTCTGCAGGCATGCGCAGAGATAAAAGCATGTGTACAGAGGAACTACAAAGTCAGAGAGTAATCAAACCCTGTCTATGCAAAGTGGCACTGTTTGTTTATAATATAGCTCCTGAAAAGATAACTGCAAAACACAAACTAAGACGTGTAGTCATTGACATTATAGGGGGCTTGAAGGAAACATTGTCTCGCATGAATAGTTCTTCATGATGATAAAGTCCCAAAACAGTGACAGGAGTTCATACAATGATGTATAAAACAAGACAAAGTAATAAAAATAACCAAATCAAAAGCACTTACTGTAGGAATATCAATGCTGCTGCCACCTGCAGCAACTTAACAGCCGGTCCGATCCAAAACGAAGCCCTTACCTTGCTCTGCTTGAAAAATCTAAATAAGAATTTCAGTTCCATATGTTTACAAAAAGGCTTTGATGGACTGTCTTTCATTACATAGCCATAAATTGGCATAAAAAAATCTGTGGTTTCAGATGAAGATACTTAAGATGCCTTATTCAGTGTTCAGTGTGGCCCAGAGGTGGGTCAGAAAGAGATTAAACATTGGTGCTCAGAGCGACCTCAGGTTTCATTAAGGAACTCACGGCACCATAGATAAAGTGCTGTACTGTACAGGGCCCTTCTTTTTTTTCAGTCCGCCCACGAATGAGTGAATTTTATCCCTCCTTAATCCCTCAAGTATGCTGGAGATGAAGACAGTCACGACAAGCGCTAGTCTGAGACGCCAGAGTGAGAGAGAAAAAGAAAAAAGGTCAAAGAGAGACAGTTAGAGAGAGGGTGTCTAGAGATAGAAAGAGATGGTGGGGAAACAGAATTAGATACAAAAAGATAAAACATTGATAAGGTGATAAATAAAATGGAGATGGAAATCTAAACACATCTGTCTGCTGTCCCAAACAGACAAGGTGAAATATTGATGGGAACAAATTCAGCACCTTGCCAGCGTATGGACAGTGTGAGAGAGTTAGTGTGGCCCCAGGAATTGCTTTCCTGTTTTCCTGACCCTGCAGTCTGGGGCATGTCAATTACTTTTAGACATGCCTGATCATGTTATTTTTGCTGATGTAAAACAAGGTAAGCACTCATAATGTAATGCACTCAATTTAAATTGTAGCAATAAAGTGTGATCAAGGGGAAACTAACAACACCAAACTAATTTCACATAAGAAAAACATCCACAAGTTTGTTTGACCGCACCAACTTGGTTCAGTGGCACACCCAAAAGAACTGACAGCCAAAAGATACAAACTGTCCAAAAATAGATATATTCAGAAAGGTGCGTGGATGTGGGGCTCAGCAATAGCTATGGAATATATGAAGAGCAGGAATGCTAAATTGATATGAAGACTGGTACTTTTTGGGCATCTAAAGGGGCAAGTGTGACTGAGAGCAGTAACATGCATTTTATATAGAACTGTAATTAACTAATAGCAAATAAAAAGGGGTTCATACGAACACTTACTTTGTTTTAGTCATTTCTTTATATTATTTTCAATATGAATAAATGACGTTAGCAAGCACCTCAAGAGAGCTGTGGTATGTTAGCTACTGTTCAGTAAATAACTTCGCACCTCAATAACGAGAGACATGTGCATCGGAGGGGGACAGGAGAGTCTGTTTTTTTTGTTTTTTTTTGCCTGATGAGGGTCTAGTACCGAAACGCTGTGTCAATATATATTTTTTGC